AGAAATCATTTTATTTGTTTGTTTAAAAAATTTATAAGCCACCCATCTCACTGTCAAACGACACTGTCCAGCGCTTTATACTTAAATGAGCAGCAATCGAATTAAAGCAACGGTTCAAAAATTCAAATGGAATATGGAACAAGTAAATGATTCAAAATTAAATACAGCAAGGTTATACACTGTTATCTTACTTCATTCTGTTTATGCAGAACACATCATGAAAAATGCTGGATTAGAAAACATGAAATTTGAATTAAAATTGCAAAAAGAAACAGTAACAGTCTCAGACAAATTGACGGCTTGAAATGAAGACTTAAAATATTTATTTATTATATAGATTTATATGGCTACCCAATCAACACAGGATAGAGTCAATACAATAAATGTTATACTTTTAAAAATTACAAATATTTCAGGCATGAGGCAAAGTAAACATTCAACATATCAAAACAGGCTCACCTAGTACCTAGGCCCAATGCTCAGGAAAAGGACTACATCTGTATGCCTTGTTTCATATTGTTGTTTTATAATGTTGTAAGCATCCCAGAGGTGCTGTACAATGGAACGAGTGACGTATAAATTTAATGAATAATAATGATTCTAACCTCTCAAGAGAAATACGCCAAAAGCCAGTTCCAGACCCTGGGATAGAGAAGGCAAACTTGCAGGATCCCATTAGATGCCATTGCTTAATAGAAAGGATGAGCCAAAATAACTGAAAACAAGTGATCACACAAATAATCTGGCCTTATGCTAGGACAATCTTTATATGTGGGCAATAACCAGCATTTTGAATTGCATCCAAGTCCATTTAAAGCCAATGCACCTTGCAGAGTATATATGTTATATGGCCAAACCGAGGCATATGTACCCCACAGAAAGGTAATTAAAACTTTGATTTTAGAAAACTGCAATAAGACTAAGGGTCATGATAAATTTGATACAAGATTTAGGAGTTAATTACTTATTAATTACAAAACTGACATGTGGAAAAAGATTTTAAGCTGGAAAAAACCAACTGATGTCTTAATAATTAAAATGGATATTCCAATAACAAACCAAGAACATGACCTGGATGGTTTTCCTATATGAAATTTACAAAAGAGTCTTGTTAAAGATTTGAAGAATTTTGTGAGAAGGGTCAAAAAATCAAGTTCTCTGACATTATTTGAAGGGACTAAAAATCAAGACTGTAGGAAGGAGTATAAAGTTGGTTTATCAGATCAAGGTTAAAAAAGATATGTTTTTGATAACTCTTAATAGATTTTGGCTGACAGCAGAACTGAAATGAGGAGGCTTCATGCATTTGTTTATAGATAAGAGATAGGCTTCAGAAAGGAGGAGTTGTTTGCAGTGGTGAAATCTACTTACCTTCACTACCAGTTCAGGTGCGCTCCCGTGTGAGAAAGCATACGCACTACGTGCACACGCACCTCTTCTGCACATGCACAGAACTTTCTGCGCATGTGCAGATGGTTAAAAATGGGAAATAATGATGTGCCGGAGGGTGGACGGAGCCTCCCGCTCCTGGCGCTACCGGTTCAGCGAGCCGGGTACAACCGGGGGGGGGATTTCACCACTGGTTATTTGTTGTATTTGAACAGAAGGTGATAAGTTACTAAAACTGTTTATACTTGGGATGAACATGTGTTGTGGTAAGTCATTTCTTTATATATCAATTTTATCCGTCTATATCCTTTTTTTGTTTGTTTATTTTCTGTTTTTTCTGCAGCTTCTATTTTTTTTTTTTAGTTTGTATTGGTTTATATTGTTGTAATTGTAATTTTTAATAAGAGAGGAAGAATATGTTTCACCATAGCTACAAAGAAACTAATACTAAATGAAATAAAACTAGATTGTTTACTGGAAGCAATAATCATGAAAGTATTGGACATGTAATGCATAAGCAGATGTCATTGGAGAAGACGCTGATGTTTGGAAAAACCAAATGCAATTTTTAAAAAAAAGCCAAGAAGTGATGAGTAAATATTGTCACTGATGACATGAAGGATGAGCTTACAGAACTCAAATAAGCAGTTACTATTGACAGTTTTCATGAAATCATGTCCACAGGGTCAAAAGAATTGGAAAGAACTTCACTATTCAACAACGACAACAACAGGAACAATGCAGTTCTTTCATTTTATGCTTTGCCCTGTTGCTCATACCATTCCACTCAATCTCAAACAACTAGTTTAACAGAAAATAGGGCAAACATGACCTTGACTTTACTAGGATTCAACATGCCATCTAGCCACAAATATCACAGAATAAATGCTATCATATGACAGGCCTTCAACTACGCCTTATTCAAGAATCACATGCTGCCCCATAAATTACAGAAGGCTCTTCATGCTTACTGTTATTAGACCTATCCAAAGGAAGAGTAATTATCTGATGCTTATTTCCACTGAATTCAAGAGGACGACGAAACATGTCTCTTCAGAAAAGCACTTTAAAAGTATCCAAGGACAGAGACTCTTTATATTCTCTATAAACCAAGAGCTGATCAACTTTTGTGGTTGGTAGCAGGGGTGGGTTCTACTTACCTTTACTACCGGTTTGCATCGTGTCCGCACATGCAAGCTTGCTTTGCTCTGTATCGCGCACGCTCTTCTGCGCATGCACAGAAGTTTCTGCACATGCGCAGATCTACTTTGATGACATCCCAGTCATCAAAGCGTCCCGCTGGTTTTACTACCGGTTCTTGCGAACCGGTCCGAACCGTGAGCAATCCACCACTGGTTGGTAGGGAGAAGATGGAAGCTATAATAATTTTGTTTGGCCTCCAAAAGCAACAAAAGGAAACTTTCAAGCCTTTTCATGTTGATTCCTTCATAAATCTTAAACAGGTAAAGAATTGTAATCTTGGGTGGTCTTAGGGCTCTGTATTTAAAAGACCACCTCTCCCAAAGCCGCAGATCCTGTGTACGAAGATCAACTGGGGATGGCTTGGTTATCAATGCAGTTAACAGTAGAAGGGCCTTCTCTGCAGCATTGGCCTTACACTGCTTTGGGGAGGGGTGTGGTTTCATTTATACATCATACATATTCCATCACCGAACCTTCTGCAAAGTGGCAGCTGATATTGGAGCAAGCCAAATTTTAAATTGCTTTTTAAAATGGACCCCATTGTAATTATGCTCTCACTGGTTTTTTTTTTTTTTTTTATGAGAGCTTGTTTTGTTGTTTTTATCAAATTGTTCTTTCTGTGGTTTTTATGGCCCTGGACTTCTGTGGAAGGAAGAGTATTATAAAGGTCAATGATGATGACTTCAATTTTAAGCTGAAGATACTTCCACCTCTTACAATACTAGACAACACAGTATCAACAGTAGAGACCCTCAAATTTCTAGGTTCTATCATATCTCAAGACCTAAAATGGACACCCAACATCAAAAACGTCATCAGAAAAGCACAACAAAGAATGTTCTTTCTGCGCTAACTCAGAAAGCTCAAACTGCCCAAGAAGCTGCTGATAAAGTTCTACAGAGGAATTATTGAGTCTGTCATCTGCACCTCTATAACTGTCTGGTTTGGTTCTGCAACCCAACAAGACAGACACAGACTTCAGAGGATAATTAGAACTGCAGAAAAAACAATAGCTACCAACCTGCCTTCCATTGAGGACCTGTATACTGCACAAGTCAAAAAGAGGGCTGTGAAAATATTTACAAACCCCTCGCATCCTAGACATAAATTGTTTCAACTCCTACCCTCAAAACGACACTATAGAGCACTGCACACCAGAACAACTAGATACAAGAACAGTTTTTTCCCAAATGCTATCACTCTGCTAAACAAATAATTCCCTCAACACTGTCAAACTATTCACATTAGGCTGCATTACTATTGCTATTGGCCTTCTCATTGTTCCTGTCGCCCATCTCCTCCCACTTGTGACTGCATGACTGTAACTTTGTTGCTTGTATCCTTGCGATTTATATTGATATTGTATGATTTGATTGCTTATTGTACTGTATGACTGTCACTGGGTGTTGTGCCTTGTGATTCTTGACGAGTGTATCTTGTCTTTTTATGTACACTGAGAGCATATGCACCAAAGACAAATTCCTTGTGTGTCCAATCACACTTGTCCAATAAAGAATTCTATTCTATTCTATTCTATTCTATTCTATTCTATTCTATTCTATTCTATTCTATTCTATTCTATTCTGATAAGCTCTTTTCAACCTGGAACCCTGAAAATGTGCTAGAACATCACCATTCCATGTCTAAAAGAAATAGCAATGTAAGGCAACAACTAGCCATCATAGAGAAGGGAGCTTCCTAGCTTCCTCCTGCAAGCTGCTGCTGCCATTTGGAGTAAAAGGGTTTTCTGACAAGAACTTGAAACAGGATGCAAACCAGACCACAAATGCAGCCAGAACAAGACAGAAACTACTGTTTTACACGTGGAACCAGACAACCTGGGCAGAGGTTGTACTATCTGTTGGCTAGGAATAGGTTGAAAATTACATCATGTATTCCTGCCCTCTATAAATGATGGGTAGGTCATGCCTGCACAGGGAATAGTTGGAAATGCTGATCTGCCATAAAGATAGTCCTATAAAAGTAATATTTCTCTCCTTTTAGCTATCATTATTCCATCATGGCTTCAAGATATGAAAATACACATTGTTTCTTAACCAGAATCTGAAAAGCAGTTAGGTAGTTAATCTGTTGTGTGAGCAGAAATCATTTCTCTCCCAGTTTCTGTCCTCTCCATTACTTTATTTTCCAAATTCCTTTCATCTTTCTCTCCTTTCACCAGCTTTTTTCCAGGCTTCCAACAAGGTAGACGAGAACCGGCTTCCAATCTATTATTTCCTAAAGAAAAAGGGAGTATCATTTGTGCTATTTCACTTTAAAGGTCTTCCCAGTTGCACTAAGGGAGCATTTACAGCAGCCCTGTTTTTCATCATTGCTGTGTCCAGAAAATGCCATTTGCCATGTACTTCCCTCTTAAGATTTCCAAATAAAAAGAAATGATTGCTCACCAGTTGAAATGCTACGGGCCTATTTAATTACACAATCATGTTCTGCCCTCCTCTCTGTATGATTTCTGTCCAGGTTTCTTTTTGTGTGTATTCTTTTTTAGTTGGGAAAATGCCAATGTGGTGTGGGGGAAGGGCAGACAAACTTAGTTTAGAGAAGCCCAAGCAATGTAACTTAAAAATCACTTCTTTCCCTTTCCGGTTGCAATCCCCTGATAAATGGATGTTTACCCCTCCTGGCCCATGATCAGCTGAAAGACGGCCTCAATATCAGAGGAAAAAACCCATCACTTTGCCTATAGCAAGGGCCAAATTCACAAATCAGGGCATTATCCTTCGACAGAGAGGTTACTAAGTAAATGACTGGCAATGGGAGTGGGGGCAGCAAATTGAGCCTTTCGTTTGACTCGGGGATCATGGGTGCATAGCAATTTAAACCATAGTGTGGAAAGGCTCTATTCTAAACTCTGCTTTTCTACTAAAAAATACTCCTAGCCCTCCCTCCCTTTCCCTCATTGCACTGCCCCTGCTCCAGTGCTTGCGATTTGAATGAAACTGCTGTTCTCAAACGCATATCCATGTCCTTTAGGCCACAAAATGTAAATCAACATATCAATTAATGCACGGGTATTAAAAACCCATCCTCCAGTTGCCAGGCCCGTCTGCAGCAAGCTGGTCTTGAAACGCCGAAGGGGTTAAGGCAAACTCAGGGCAGAGGGATTTCTCCCTAATCCGTGCACATGTCATGGGATCAGGGCTGTGGGTGGTAGTGCTAGCCTGTGGCGGTTGCTCAGGCCCAGAGCGGATCGCCTGACTGGCTCCCAAGCCTTCTTATATAGGCCGTTTTTCAAATTTAATTAAGAAGGGCCCCTGTCAGCGGCTTATAGCTTGTCGCCTACGCCGCTCCAAGCCTCGCTCGCACAACAAAGGAAAGCGAAGCCGGACCTTTCCTCCGGGCAGCCGCCTCGCGAGGAGTCAATGACGTCAATTCTCCCCCCACCCACCCCCGGCGGTCGCCCACAGCCCCAAAAATGACGTCAGGGGTCTCTGCACCTCCGCTCTGCGAGAGCGAGGGCAAACCCCAAGCTTGAAAATGGACAGGGGCGATTGTTATTTACATTATGGTTGGTCGTCCGGGCGGCCAGATGTTCAGACTGCAGTTGGCTTTTTTTTTTATCCAAGCAGATGTTTGATGGTGTTAGTTAGAGGTACCCTCGCAGGTTGTTAAGCCGTTCCGAGCAGAGCTGCCTTTTTGCAATTGACTGAATTGAATTTGTCAACGTCGATGTGGTTCAAGCGGTGCTTCGGTTATTTGGAGATTGTACCCAAAGCGCCTATTACTATTGGGGATAGCAATAGCAATAACCTTTGCTTTCCCAAAGGTGTTTTTTCAAGGGGCACTTTGTGGTCCAGTTCTGGACCAGAAAGTCCAGTTGCCTCTTGAAAAAGCGCCTTTGGGACAACGGTGACCTGGATGACTGAGAATCTCCATAGATCCCTTTGCTTTCTTTTGCCACGGTATTCCCCTTCCCTGGCTTCAGCGTTCAGTATCTTAGTGAAGTACTCGTCTCTTATTCCGCTAGATCGCTGACGAACAGCCCGGGCTTCGTAGGAGTGAGACAAAAGCCACGAGAGCCACCACCTAAGGGGCTTGAGCCCCTTCCCCCTTCCAAGGCAAGCCGCGCGGGAGGCAGACGGCAGACGATAGCCGGCCGGGGAGGGGGAAGGCAAGGGAAGTCCATATAAGTGGCTCCCTTTGGGATCAGGTTTTCATGACGCTGAGCTCTTAAGAAAGGGGGGGAAAGGCCGGTGGAGCCCAGCGCCTAGGTGGTTTTGCAAGGAGGCTGTTTCCAGAGCCTTTGATCTTTAAAGGAAGAGGGGGCTGAACCCCGCGGAAGATCGCCAAAACGCTGTAATAAGAACACCTGGACTGCTATTCTCTGGCAGTCACTCTTTCAAGGTGCCACGTGGGGCTGTGTATGTAAACATCATCCAGCTGCTAACACACACTCCATACACACGCACTAGTTCCTTACACACTGCAGGAAAGCAGGTGGGTTAAGGCTTTGTTCCCCTTATAGGTTGGCAAATCTTTAAAAGGCACTTCCTATTAACTTCTCACTTTTTAATTTAATTTGCCCCCATTTGAGGGTGTTTGGTTGTTTTATGCTATACTTCCACAAAAACCAGAAGTATGTGTATTAAGCTACTCTTAGGAATACCCTCTAATTCATAAATACCTCCACAGTACTAAAGTGGTTTGTTTAAAATATCCTTTGTCCCATTCTAGACTTCTTGGGAGCGATGCGATCAGAAATCATGTAAAATTTGTACCCTGATTTAATTCTAATAGGATAAACACTTCATATGACTTTGGCTTCCTGTGATAAAACTAAGCAAAACTCCCATGAATTGTTGCTCAGTCACTGTAATCAAAGTCTTGCATTTGTTCAGAGGTCCAGCAATTACACAGGAATGCAGTGTAGTATTGCTGGTCTAGAAGCCAAGAGACTCTGAGTTGTAGTCCTGTCTCTTAGGAATAAAAGCCGGCTGAGTGACTTTGGGCCAGTGACACTCTCTCAGCCCAGTTCACCTTGAGTTACTTCTAAAATCAAAAGGGCAGGATAATAACAATTTTGTTAAATAAATGAAATGTGATTTGCATTGAACTTCAAATTTTATTCATTAGATAATTGATCATTTTCATTCATTATTTACCCATTTTTTTTCTCTGGAGAAATGTTTCTGCAGATATTTTTTTAAGAGATGAAAACCAAGGCATTCATAGTACTGAGGAATCATTAGATTAAGATTACATTATTTGATTAAGCCTGATCATTATTCTGATTCTATACTAACAGTATATATAGTGATCAATAGTGGTATTCAGATTATTCTGGAAATACCAAAGATTTCTTTCCTGAGCCAGTGTACTACCAGTTGCACCAGTGATGATTCATTCTTCCCCATTTTGGGGTGGTAAGGTTAGCCTTGTCTTCTTGCCTGACAACTAGATGAAAACAGTTATGCCTCAAATCTCTACCAACTGTCCTTTATTTATTCATCCTTAAACAAGTTCATAAGCATTAATAATACGCTGGTTTGTGAAGACTTGCTTTCACTTGGTTTTGATTTTGCCCTGAGGACTTAGCTCATTCAACTGAGAAATTAAGAAAGGAAACAACTTTAATGTTATTGCTTCCTCCAGCTTATTTATCTTGAGCTGTTTGTTCTAGATAATAGCTGCAAAGTGTCTCACCTCCAAGCTGTAGAAGCCAAATGATGTCATGCTAGGGGCATCTTGAGAAAGGGGGAAGAGCGCAACTAATCGAACCCATGAAAAAGCATAACAGAGGCAAAGACGCTACAAATAAAATATTTCACTAAATTCTTGCTAGACATGAACAATAACAGCATTACTAAAAAAAAATCTATGCTGAATTAACCAAAAGTTTCTTTGCTGTTATATTTATATTCTGCCTTTTCTCTAGATTAGCTTTTTTCATCTGGAACACCAACGCTTATCATCCCAGAAGCTCCTGTAAAAATCCATAGATTATGGGATAATAGACTAAAGAATCATTTAGGCTTTTTTTTAACCCTTTTGTAAGACACCAATATGACAGATAGACAGACAGACAGATGTCATTAAATAAGAGGAATTAATCAATTTATTAATTCTGTGCTTAATTTAATTGATCTTAATTCTATTTAATTACTTCTCATTCCCTAAGGAAAGTTATCCAGTAAACTCTCTGGTTGCATGGATACTTGGATGGCCTCTTGTTTTTCCTTTGAATCCTGTGGGCTTTACTTCTGGGATGACCTACGTATTGTTTCCAACTTTCCGGTAAAATTTCCATTTTGTTTCCAATGTCTGCCCAAAGGATCCTGAAAATTTACAAACAGAGGAATAAGAGCTTTCTTCTGGATTTAGAAGTATGCCATCTCTGAAAATTGAAGTACCATCTGGTAATGGAACAACCAAAACAGAAATGGTCATGGTGGCATAGAGCCCAACAGCTGGATGAGACAACACAGCCCTACAATGGGCCAACTGAAGCCTGGCATTTCACCAACTTTCTTCATGACCCTCCTCACAAGAATCAGTTTGATTGCATTGGGAAGCTTATTCAGTTTTCTCATGAAGGGGGAAAAAAAAGCATTTTCCTGCTGGATCACTTTGATCAGGCTAGTTACATTTTACATCTCAGTGAATGATAACTATAGAACTGGATATGAGTTTGGGGCAAAATTGTACAAGACTGTGAATGAATGATACCTGGAGGAAAAAATATTCTGTTAGGTGACATGACTGGATGGAGAGAAACAAGATGAGAGAGTAAGAAAAAGAGATTAGGCCATTTAGAAAAACAAGAAAAATGAGAATGGTATCTTTTTGGTGTGTATCTGGGGAAATAAACCATTTTTTACAGAATTAGATATTATCAACAGTGAACCTTGAGGGGGAAATACACATGGGAAAAAAAGGAAAGAAGACAGCGAAAGAACAACTGCAAAGCATGAGATCTGGATTGAAAAGTATTTGAATAATATATCAAGAGAGTGATTGAAAGAGGACGTGAAAGAACAAATAAAAATAATTATGTGACACAAAGTGCCAGAGAAGCATCTGTTGGTGGGAAGAAGCATTAAATTAAATGAGTGATATGTCAGCCCTCAACTTAGAGTTAGCCTTGAAAACAGACTAACAGATGCTCACTTACAGCATTTGAGGAAAAAGTGGTAAAGAGCTCTTTGGGTTGTGAGAGACTCTTAAGCTATATACCAATGTTGGAGAACCTTTTTGGCACCGCGCGTGGGGGAGCACCAGAAACCAGAAGTGCAGTTCTCCGGCACGCATGTGCGCACTGGGAAACTGAGCTTCCAGTTTCCAGGGTGCACATGCATGCGCGAAGACAGCATGCATGCGTGCGCTGGAAACTGGAAGCTCAGTTTCTCAGTGCGCACATGCGTGCTGGAGAACTGTTCTTCCGGTGCTCCCGTGCATGAAGACCAGTTGGTCGCGCCGGAACCCAGAAGAGCAACAGGCGATGGCT